TACAAGCAAGCTATCAACTTCCTCCAGGCCGCGCCGGTCAAAGCCCTCTAAACCCAGCGAAGCCGTGCAAGGGGCCTCAAGTTCACTCACTGTATCAACTGTGGCGGGGAGGGGGCGGCGGGGCGTCAAGACTTTATCCACGAAATAGCTCGCAAAGGCCTCACAGCCAATATCCAATTCCCTACTACTTTGTCTGCCCTGTGGCAGAGTTGTCAATGACCGAATCGTTCTAAATAATTTTCTTTTCCCTTTCTTAGTCTAGGACTGCCTTGGATCATTTTCCCAAATTATCTCCCAGAAACAGGTATTGCTGTACAATTGCTTTAATGTAAGGAAGTAAGCTGTTCCTGCCCACTTTGTCATGCTCTCCATTTGCGGTCCAGAAATGGGACAAGATACTTTGAATGAAGCGGGGGGGGGGACCCACGCCAAACAAATAGAACTCTGATGATGGTAAACATATAATGAACAATATATTTGTCAATGCGTTTCCCCTGAATAATACCCTCAAATCTGCTACCTCAGATAGGGCCAGCCTGACTGGGCCACAGTTCTCTTTTCCCCCTTCCCACATTCCGGACAAGAGAAATTCTTTAAAAGTCAAGAGGAGAGGGAATGACAAAGACATCCACTCTGCAAACATTTCGGCTCCTATTTTCTTATTAGTGGGAGATGACATGATCTTGCCTTGCTTATTGTCTTGCTAGGTTTCTTTCTTTCTTTCTTTCTTTCTTTCTTTCTTTCTTTCTTTCTTTCTTTCTTTCTTTCTTTCTTTCTTTCTATAATAGAGCCCACTGTGTTGGGCTACAGATTCCATGGATTGTGGGGAAAGTTTCTAACCATTCCTGTGTGTGCTGTGGGTCCACAGGAGGAAGCACAGCGATGGGCTCAGGGTATTGGACTACAACAACTTCAAGCTGACTGGAACCTGCATAGCCTTCAAAATCTAACCAATGCCACCAGTGTCTTGAGTATCTCTTATCATTATCTTGCTGGCATTCCCCCTCTCCGGAAAAGTGAGTACCACATGCCTCGAACAGGTGGGCCTAACAGAGTTAAAACATTGGCAGAAGTGCAGAGCAAGTCACTTAGAAACTTAAGGAGTTTGCATTTCAACACATCAGTTTTATTTATCAAATGTTATCCTGTCCGTCCTCCAAGGAGTTCAGGTTACGTGAACACAAAGTTCATCCTCCCAGCACCCCAATGGAGGTACATTAGGCTGAGTTTCCATGGTAGAGTAGGGATTTGAACATGGGTCTCTTAGACACTATTCTGGCACTCCAACTACCTGACCACCTCACCAAATCCAAGAACACTGTACCATACTATACTGGCTCTTTTGAGGGAGGTCCAAGTACACCACTGTACCATACTATACTGGCTCTTTTGGGGGAGGTCCAAATACACAAAGGACTGTGGAACATAATGACTTTCTGCTAGGATTTCATCCTTTGCTCATCATGCAGTTGCAAACTGGGGTGAGAGTAACTTTAATCCTTTGCCGATCCTGTCTCTTGGGAGGGCTCAAAGCAGATGGGAGATACCACTTAGGCCACTTTCATAGCTGTACTCTGTGCCTGTTGTACCAGCTTACTTTCAACCCTGGTTGCAGGGAGATTCTGCAAGAGAGCCGTGTTTCTCCATCCTAGGGCTGGTCTATGACACAAGAAAAACTCTTATGGCTGCTACCTTTTCATTGCTGGCTTTACACTGCCATCCAGTGGGAGGATATGGCAGAAAGCATATATGTGCTTCCCATGGCTTTATCCTCTATTGCACCCAATAAATAAGAAATGAATGAACAGGGATGCTGCTGCTCTTTTTAATCCATCTTTTTCTTCCTGTAGCTGCAAAACCAGCTGCTGCTTTGCCAGCCAACTGATAATCTTGTTCATCCTCCTCCCCTGCCTGGTGTAGCAAGCAGGTTTCTGGTTTCATCACACAGACAGTGTGGGTGGAGGATGTGGGAGGAAACTAGTAGAAGAACAGGGCATGAGTCACAGCAGCTGCATCCTCTCCTGCTGCCTCAGAATGTTAGAGACAAGTAGGATCTCTCTTTGGGTTATGATCTAGCAGCAACATCCAGGAACACACAGCAACACCACTGTGCTGTAGAGACATGCCTGCTGGTTGCTAACCCGAATTAACAGCAAATGAACAGTATAGTAGGCTGCCTTGTCAGTTTGGACCTCATTGTACCTTCATTTGGGTGCAACATGTCCTGTGTTTATTATTTATTTATTTATTATTTTCAATTTATATCCTGCCTTGCCTGCACAGTTTGATAGTGAGCCAGGAGCAGTGTCCATATGGATACAACTTAAGTGAAATTCAGAAGAATCCTTAAGAATATGGATTCCAAGCTAGTGGGGCTTTTACTCCAGTACAAATCAGACAACATGGGCCTTCCTGGGTGTTAATTTTAGTTCCAGGTGTAAGAAGATTAGGAAGCACTGCTGGATTAGACCAGTGGGCCACCTGGTCCAGTATTCTGTTTTACACAATGGCCAACTAATTACTACAGAGGGCCAACAACAGGGCATCGAGGCCAAGTCCTTCCCCTAATGTTACCTCCTGGCACTGGTATTCAGAGACTTACTGCCTCTGAATGTGGGAGTTCTCTTTAGGCACTATGGCTTGTACCCACTGATAGACCCATCCTCCATACATTTGTCTAATCCCCTTTAAAAGCCACGTGGCCATCACTACATCCTCTGGCAGTGAATTCCACAATTTAATCATTCACCGTGTGGATAAGAACAAGAGTCCAGTAGTACCTTCAAGATGAACAAAATTTGTGGCAGGATATGAGCTTTTGTGAGTCATTGCTTGCTTCTTCAGATACAAGGTATTTGAAGAAGGGAGGCGTGACTCATGAAAGCTCATACCCTGCCACAAATTTTGTTCATCTTCCTTGACTCATGAACGCTCATCCCCTGCCACAAATTTTGTTCATCTTGAAGGTACTACTGGACTCTTGCTCTTTTCTACTGCTACAGACAGACAAGCATGCTACCCATCTTGCTGTGCAGATAAGTATTTCCTTTTGTTTGACCTGAATCTACTGAATCTACTATTTTGGGAGAAGGAGAAAATGTCCTCTCTGTCCACCGTCTCTATACCCTGTGCATAATGTTATAAACCTCTATCATGTCCCCCCACTTAGTCATCTCTTTTATAAACTGAAAAGTCCCAGACTCTACAGTCTTTAATCATCTTCGTTGTCCTCTTCTGGCCCCGATCAGACCTCATGTTTTATGAGCATTGAGCGTGCTTATATCTAATCCGAAGGTATTTAAACCAGAAAATGTCATCCAGACATCACACCCATCACCTGCCTTAGTGCGCAATCACTCCGTGGTTGAGTGTTCACACTTCCCACAATGTAACTGTGGAGCACGCAGATGGGCACCATTTAAAAAAAAAATCACTGTGTACATGTGTATAAATGGTCAACCACAGCTCTTTCCCCTGTAACTGTGGAGCACGCAGATGGGCACCATTAAAATGTGCATGTGTATAAACGGTCAACCACAGTTCTTTCCCCTCTGAACACACATGTGCATTGATGATTAATTGCAGCACAGTGATCAGACATCCGGAAATGTATGGTGAGACTGGACTTTCTCCAGTGGTGCCACTGGACTTTCTCCAGTGGTGGCAAAGTCGGGAGTTGAAGACGAGTGGCCTATGAGTGAGGAACACTATACAGATGTGGTTGTCTGGATGCGCTTGTAAAATCCAGAGGGGGAGAAGTAATGACAGCAAAGCTGATAGCTTGTCTGATTGCAGCCAGACCTGCCATAGTGCAGTTACTGGTATACTTAGTATGAAATGTTTTTAAAATTAGGCAATAAACTACTTCATTGGATAAATGAAGTGTTCATAAGAAGGAACCTGTTAGACCGTACCAAAAACCAGCATCCTGTTTCCCATACAGGCCAGCCAGATATTTCTAGGAAGCCCACAAGCAAAATGTAAGAGTAATAGCTGCCTCCATTAATCTGGTTACCCTACCCTACCCCCTTTTTAAGCCATCTATGCCAATGATTGTCCCCATATCTTGTAGCAGAAAATCCCATAAATTATGCATTGTGTGTACTTTCATGTGTCTGCCCTGATCCCATAAGTTTCATTGAGAGACCGTGAGTTCTGGGCAGATTTGTAAAAAGGCAAAAATCAAAACAAAACCTACATTTGGCATTAATTAGAAGTAATATGACTGTTGCTGTAATTGTTAAGATGTCTTGGATTAATACAGTATATCCTTTTGGGTCCATGTTTCAGAGTTTCTTACTGTAGGACTGTGTTCTATAAAACGCAAGAAAGGGAACTACCTCCTGGAGACACTGAGGTCCATCTTTGACCAGTCAACACGTGAAGAGCTGAATGAGATGGTGGCAGTGGTGCATCTAGCTGATCCAGACCAGGAGTGGAATGCTCAGGTTGTGGCGCATATTGCCAAGAGATTTGCTCATCAAATCCTGCTGGGCCGCCTACTAGTTATACATGCCCCTCATGAGTATTATCCTTCCCTTGAAGGCTTAAAACAGAACTTTAATGATGCTAAGGATCGTGTGAAATTCAGATCAAAGCAGAATGTAGACTATGCCTACCTCATGAACTTTGCAGCCAACCTCTCCACCTATTACCTCATGATTGAGGATGATGTCCACTGTGCCAAAAACTTCTTCTCAGCCATCAGAAGGGTGCTGGAATCTCAGAAGGGCTCCTACTGGGTCACCTTGGAGTTCTCCAAGCTTGGCTACATCGGCAAGCTCTACCACTCCAGTGACCTTCCCCAGCTTTCTCGGTTCCTCTTACTCTTTTACCAAGAAATGCCTTGTGACTGGCTTCTTGGACACTTTCGACTGCTTCTTACCCAGAGAGAGGTGATTCGTTTCAAGCCATCCCTTTTCCAGCATATCGGCCTCTACTCCTCCTTCCAAGGCTCAGCAAACAAACTGAAAGATGAAGACTTTGAAGAGGATCCTGCTGCACTTCCTGACAATCCTCCTGCAGACATGGTAACAGATATTGCCAGTTTTGAGAATTACTCACCCAATAAGGCCTACAGTAACACAGAGGAGTACTTCTGGGGCAAGGCCCCCTCAGCTGGAAACTCATTCACCATTGTGTTCAAGCAGCCTGCACGTGTATTGCGCATCCAGATCCAAACAGGGTCTGAAAAGCACCATGAAGACTACCTCCAGGCAGGCCATGTTGAGTTGGGTACCCAGAAGAAAAGTGATGGTAAAGGTTGTAACATGTACACCTCTATTGGACTCTTTGAGAAGGGAAACTTTAACAGACAGGGCCTGGAGAACACAACGGCCTCTGCCCCAGAGTGTATACGCATTGTAATAACTCAGGATCAGAGTGAATGGCTGATCATACGTAGCATAAGCATCTGGACAAAGCCCAGTCCCTGAATGAACCCTATGCTGGATCAAGGAATTTCGCAGCCTTTGCTTTTGGGTAAAGTCCTGTAGAGGTACAATAATCCACTGTGGGAGGAGCAAAAGGAGATTCTGCAGTCTGTCACAATGAGTGGTTATGAAGCATACAAGGCAGATTTTTAAAGTCTATATGTTATCCAAAAGCATTGGATTCTCCCAACCATGTTCTCCAGCCATTTTGGCAACTTGTGGTTGCATCCCTCAGGGAAGATGCCTGGCTGGAGCCCTCCATATCTTAGGACAGGACCAGGCTGGCTTATGCTCATCTTCATCTGCAGGCTCCCTTTTCTAGTACCATATGCATCTTAGGACAGGACCGGGCTGGCTTATGCTCATCTTCATCTGCAGACAAGCTCCCTTTTCTAGTACCATATACACAAATGGGGCTGGGAAAATAATAGTTAAACTTGGGAGCTGGAACAGCGTAGCAGGCAAAGCTTGTACCTCACAGCCATCTCCCAGGTCTCTTCTGGGCCTTGTACCATTCATATTAAGTAGTCCTAGAAGCAGGAACTGTTCGAGGTTTTTTGGAAGGCCAGAAAGAGAGTGCCCAAAGTCTCCCTCTTCTCTTCTGAACACCACTAGGACTCCCACTCATGCCTTCCTTCCAGCCGTCTCACATCCCTGCCTTCCTTTGTTTCCTTCCTTCTCCCACCTGTTTGGGAGCCTTCCTACTAACCATATATTCTTTCCCCAGTTGTGCTGGGTGGTGCCTTAAGAGAGAAACCCCCACCACTTTGCCTGCCAGGAGTGCCACCACTGTATACCAGCATCAGGTCCTTTCCTGGCAGATGTGGTTGGGGAGGTTCTGTGGCCCTGGCCCCTGGCAGCTGCCCTGCATTTGAGTATGCTGAGGCCGGCCCCACCTAAAAGGAAGTAGAGCAACCGCTTTTACAAATTATGTACATAGGCAGGACATGATCCCTTAAAGCCCCTGACTCTAGCCATTGGGATTGTGTCCACCACCATTATGTCTTTCAGCTGTTGCTATCTGAAGGGCAGGATAGCAACCCAACAGGTGCAAAAGAAAGAAGTAACAGCACTGATTGATCACACAAATTGCACAGGATACATTTCTATGAAACTCCTCTCTCTAGCGTTCAGTAAAGCCACAGGGTCTCATATATATATATGTGTGTGTGTGTGTGTGTGTGTGTGTGTGTGTGTGTGTGTGTGTGTGCACTTTTAGTCTAACTGTCAGACAATATATGGATTTTTATCCTGAGGAAATATAACCAGAGCACACATTAATCTTTCTTATTTTGATGTATAAAATTATGAATAATCAAATAAATGTGAATGTAATTAGAATCGTAATTAGAATGTAATTCGAATTAGAATGTAATTAGAATTAGACCCTGATGCTGGGAAAGATTGAAGGTCAAAGAAGACGGGGACGGCAAAGGATGAGATGGTTAGACAGTGTCATCGATGCAACGAACATGAAATTGAGCCAACTTCAGAGGACGGTGGAAGACAGGAGGGCCTGGCGGGAGATGATCCATGGGGTCGCAAAGAGTCGGACTCGACTGTGCGACTGAACAACAACAACAACAACAATTAGAATCGTATCTAGGGGCGGATTAACCATTAAGCAGACTAAGCATGTGCTTAGGGCACCAGGGCCAAAGGGGGCACCACAAAGTTGGGAAAAGGATGAAAAGGAAAAAAAAATGATAAAATTAGTGCACACTGATCATGGTGCACCCTAGGGTTATCTTCTATTTTTTGTTGGGGAGGTGCAGTGTCATAGGCTATATTTAAAAGTAAAATGCATATGTTTAAAAGTAAAATGATGGAGCCAAATTCAGTCGTCAGTTGCTGCAACCTGCATTGTATATCTGGTCAGACAGGTCAACTACTAAAATGGACTGGGTCAGTGTGGAAAGGAGGGGGGCACGAAGATTGGTCAGTGCTTAGGGCACCAGTGAGCCTTAATCTGCCCCTGATCGTATCTAGTACCTTCAGCAGCTACCAGATGATCTACAGCAATGTTCCCTCTAAGCTTTGGAGTCTTTGTGAGCAAGAATTCTACTTTGTGAGTGACTGGCATTAAAGTTGTGAGCGAGCAATTCGGCTACTGCATAAATTAGTTTGCTCCGGAGCCCTCCTTCCTGAGCTAAGACAAAAATGTGTGAGCTGGAGGTTAAAAAATTGTGAGCTAGCTCACACTAACTCAGCTTAGAGGGAACACTGATTCTACAGGCAGGCATCAGCTCAAGAAACAAATGCAGGGTAAGTAGTTCTAGAGGGGAAGGGGCCAGAGAATCAGTACCTGGAACAGAAGCTTATTTCCTAGCCAGGTACACATGAGGAATGTAATGTTCCTCCAAGATAGCATCTTCTTACAGCAGACTCAGCCAGACAGTCCATTTCATCAAGCCATTTCAATTTCTGCTTTTTGTTTAGCTGTTCCAATTCCTCAGAATAGCATGCATGCAAATGAGAGGTCAGATGTAGTCTCAGGACAAGGTTTCTCCCCACAAGGGCTTCAGAATTCTTAAGAATAGGGCCTGCATCCACCCCTCTCATAAACCAGTGTTGTTTACAAGTGGAATAAACTTCTGTGGAAGGAATGGACCATTTTGGATGTTTATTGTGCACGCTAATATTGGCATTTCTTTTTTAAAAAATTAATTACACATAATCATACATGAACAAAAAGGCCAATAAAATAAAATAAGAAATTAAGAAAAAAGGAAGAAAAAAAATAGTGTTTACAGTTATTGCCAAACATTTTGTTCTATAACTTAAACAAGATCTTTCTACAGTTCTACCATTTATGCCTACATTATTTGTCAATTCACATCTTTCCATAAATTCCTAGTGTTGAGTGGAGAATGGAGAGTTGCTGAACATAGACTAGCAAAAGACATAAATTCAAAACAAAATATAAGCAGACTCACTTAATTATTTTGCTAATCTAATACAATATATTAATTTTTCCAGCAGAGTTCTATTCCACAAATGTTCATACCACACTAATTGCAATTTTTGTTGTGGATTTCCAATGTTGAGATGTGATGGATCTCATTGCTATTTAAAAACAATTTTATATTTTCTCCTGTGATTAAATATAACAAAGCTACTTTTGGTTCAGATTTTAAAGTTAATTTCAAGATTGCATTACTCCTGTCATATAGCAGCTTCCAAACGTTTTGGGGTGTGTTTGTTTGCAACTCCTACACATATTAAAGTATGTTTGTATATTATTATGACATCTACAACCTGATATTGCCATTCCTCTGGTATTCTAGGGAACCTGGTCCGGCTTCTAGATTGAGCTAGCTTCTGTTCTAGCCATCCATGTTTTCACCAACATACTACATAGTCATATAAAAAAATCAGTTTTAATAAAGAAAACATTACACCTAAACCTTGCCAATTCATCTTACTAAATTATCTATTTACCTACTGTTCAAAATGCAAACCTGAACCTGTTGATTCTCACCTGTGTCATTGTACCATTACTCTCAGATAATCCTTCTCCTGCAGGAACAGCACACTTTGATTGCTGTACACCTGAGCAGGCATTGCTATGAACATGAGGCATGTGTCTGTGTAATTGAGACACGGAGCCTCTTGCTCTTTGGAAAACAAAAACACTGTGATTAACCATGCATGGATAACCTTTGGAATTTCTGTACTTCTAAGTAATCCACCCTGATTTTTTCCATCTTGCAAACTAAACCTGAGTATAAATTAAGCTAGAAAGCATGTTTTGTGTCTTTTATATTACACAACTGTGATCTGATTTTAGTATAGTGACTAACAGTGTGAACTGTGAGCCTGGAAATCCCTAAATTCAAATCTTGGAATACCATCCACCTGTGATAAGGGGATAATTATTTATTTTACACTGCTGCTGCTGTGATTACTGACAAGGAATGGTGTGTAGTGCTACTTTTTTGTATTTGTGCTGTGTTTTCCCTTTAATAAACCTTTTTGTGTTTAATAATATTTTGAGGCTAGAAGTTCAAAGGCCCTGACGCCAAACACACAGAAGTATCTCATGTTGTTTGTTGTATATATTTCAGAAAATTTAATTGTGATAAGATAAGCCCCCATGGTAAATATAAAGAGGTGAATATCTCTTATATTATCTACTCCTTATTGCATTAAGCGTGTCTATCAATCTGTTTGGGTATTATTGTATGGTAGAAGGATGGCAGCTACTCTGGAGAAAGCACAAACATGAAATCTGGTTAGCTTACTGTAACAGCGCCATCTTAAATAGAGTTACACCCACCTAGGCTCTTCAGTGACTTTAGTAGACTTAGGAGAACATAACTCGGCTCAGGACTGAGTTGTTCTTCTAAGTGACAGATCCCAAGAGTGGGAAGTATCTGGGTCAACCAAATCAACCCCTGATAATTTGACTATTATGGTGGGTTCTGTTTCTTCCTGAGATTGACTCTTATTAGGTTTTGACTGGGCAGGAGCTGCAAAGGGGCCAAATATAATAATTTGATGTGGTGCATAAAATCAGAGCCATTTATCTTACAGGGCAAAAAGCTACAAAAAATGTGCAACAGTGGCTGAATTGTGCATTTGATTCTTTTTACCCCCTTCAGGCAATTGTGAGTCTTCGCTAGCTGGGTTCACTTAATGGAGGGGGTTATTGTTATTCGTTTGAACCCTGAAAGGAATATTTAGAGTTTATCCATTTCTGAAATGATACACTTTCATTTTCCCAGGCCTAGCAAGCTAATTCAGTCATAGTAGCGGTAGAGGCAAAAAGCAAAGATCATGGCAAACATCTGAAACAAAAGTAGAGATGAAGACAAGTTAGAGCCAACTTCTACCTCATACAAAACACCAGCTGTTCTCCATCCCTCCCCACCAGTTCTACCTCTGTTTAGCCTAGCACAAAGGGTGTGGGGGGTGCTGCTTGGGGCTTTACTGTACTTTGTATGTTTAAACCTGGGATTTGTAAGGTGCCTTGAGCCATGGGGGCTGGCAGGGTATAAGTTATTTCAATAAACAAATAAGACTCTCCTAAAGGGGACTTTTGTGCACCTGAGGATGTATTGTCTGTGAGCAAGAGGATGCTGTTCACATAGGAATTCTTATTACGCCACTATAACAATGTGTATGTTGGAATTAAGGGAACAGGACCCATAATGAAATGCTATGTTGTGTCTATAAGGTTATATGAATCAATATGGTAAACAGCTGGGGGGAGCTTGTTAAAGGTGGCAAGTGGATGAATCTGATTGGTTCACCCAGCTATTCCATGGAGAGATGCTTAAGCAGCATTTGGATTTTGACTACTGACGGTTGTTGAATCAGTGGCAGGGAACAGAGGGTGGTGGCTGAGCAGACCTAAAAAAATTGTGGCTGGTTTAAACTGAGACACAACACATACATTTATATTTAGACCTTGTTCTCACTGTGTGGCCCTTGTGTGCAACTCCTGTTCATTAGAAAAAGATATGCCTTACTTTACAAAGTTTTAAATAGCTTAACCCTTTAATAGCTGTAGAGAGTGGTATCTCGGGGGGCCATCATATCATAGCTACTCAGTTACAACTACCTGAGCTAAGACAGGCCTGATTTAAGCATGATGCTGGCAAGGCAAAATAATATCCCTGTACAGCTTTGCATGGACCCAGCATTTTATTTATGCTGCAACCAGTAAAAAGTCAATCACATGTGCATAAGATTCAAGAGACTGGTAGTCTGGATGGGTGTTGTGCTAGGATGATTACTATCCAGCACATTTTATCCTGCCCTTCCCCCAAGGAGCTCATAGCAATGTACATTGTTCTCCCTTTTCCCATTTTTATTCTTATATTAACTATGCATGATAAGTTTAGCTGAAGATGAATGCCTGGCCCTAAGTCACTCAGATTGCTCAGCAGGCAGTTGAACATGTGGGTCTCTCAAGTTCTAGATGGACATTCTAATCACTATGTAACTCTGGACCTAAGCATGCATAGCTGGTTTGCAAAGGATGCAAAATAGTTGAAGCAAGACAATAGGTCCAAGCAGAAGTCTCGCAAGTGAGTTGTTTTGCCTCATTAGGGTCATGCTTACATCAAGTTCCAGAGAGGGTACCAAGATGAAAAGTCATCATTATGCAATAATTTTAGTGTACTAGTATAAGAAGTACAGTCTGCAAAAATCCATGGGTGCTCATCTGGAGCAATTAACCTCAGTGATGGTAGAAACATGTAAGAGGGAGAAAAGTTCCTACCAATATCTAATTAGTTTTGGCATGCAGGCCTGTAGCCAGGGAATTGTGGCTTGTGGAGGGATTTTTTTTTTCTTGGGGCTGCCATTATTTTTCAGTCTGTCTCTAAACAACTGTACTTTTAAGTAATAATAAAGACAATAATACTAATAATAAATTAAATTAAATGCAGCACAAACACCCCCCCACAACAGCCACCCCAGACATAAATGAAATGCAAACACACCCCCATCCTTCCCCTGCCTAAAGTAATGAAATCCCTTACAATTTTCAGAAGGACATCTTGTGGGGTTGGCCCTTTAAGGAAGGGGGCTGAGCCCCCAATAGTCCCACTGTAGCAACGGGCCAGTTGGCATGTAGTCCTAATAATGTGTTACAGGGAAGTGGCCCCTACATGGCTTAACAACCACAGCAGTACAAAAGTTTAACCAAATGCACAAGCCCTGTTGACTGAATCTAATATGCAATAAACTTGAGGAGTACCATCTTCTGCAGGTGATTTTTGTGATAGTAACAGAACTTTCACATTTCTACATATTAAATAACATATTAAAACACATTAAATAACAAGTAATTTCACATAGCATATCTCACCTGAAACCAGGAAACATAACATTTCAAACCAGAGAAACCTCAGCACTTATCAGCTGCAATAAAGCAGAATGTGCTAAATTTAATTTGTTCTCGTTTAATATGCAGTTTAATATGTTATTGTTTAATATCCTGGAGCCATCACAAATATCATCTGACAAAGAGGATTTTCCTAGAAAGAGGAAGTTTGTCATATAAAATAATTATCTGAACATGTACATTTTATCTTTTTGTTATATAATTGATTCTATCTATCTCTTTGCAGTAGTGTGTTTCAGCATCTCTGTTTTTAACCTTGTGGACTATTGTCCCTTTGTGATTGTCAGTACCTCAACAGTTAGCACTCCCAAACCACAGGCCCCAGGAATGGAGATATATTTCTGCAACATCCAGGCAATTGTAGGGAAGCAGCCCTGCAATAAAGAAAGAAATTATTATAAGGACAGTTGCAATAATAATGGAAACCCTGTCCAAATTGCAATGCCAAGTTTTTTGTATGCACTGAACAGCGAGGGGCGAGCGGCTCCTGTTTCCCTCCCCCCCCCCCCTCCCGACCCGAGCCAGAGGCAAGCAGGGAGCCGCTCGCCCCTCGCTGTTTCCCCCTCCCTCAACCCGGAGTTTGCAGAGCGTTCCCTGCGCATGCGCAGGGGACGCTCTGCCAATTTCGGGGGGATTTAAACATCCCCCCGGGTTTTTTTGCAGGGTTTCTGATTTTTGTGCAGACGTGGGGACCACCCCACGTGTGCACAAACCTCTCCCTGCCCCCCAGGTGGCCCCGGAGCGCTGATTTAAGTATCCGCACTGACGGGGCCACTTCACTATTAGATATATAGATCATCTGTACTGTGCTCTAGGGTAGCAGACAAATTCCAGACTGTAATTCCAGAAATACTACCAAAAGGATGTCCACAAACCATTCATGGTATACCTACATATGGCTATAGTGTAGAGATGAAAGCGTATACCACTGTATAAGCAAGAGTCCACTCAGCCAGCCTTTTTCTATTTATGATGGTCATGTCAGTCATATGCTGTACTGCAAAATTCATCAAAATTATGAAAATTCTCTGTGATGTTTTCACTATGTAAACAATTTTTGTGTGTTTTATTTCTAGGTTTCAATGTGGAGTTTTATATTATGTTGCTGTGATTTAAAATGCAGGCCTATAAAGTAAGAAGGGGAGGAATGGTGATTGAAGTGTGTTATGATTGGATGGTGGCTGTACCCTGGCTGGTGCAGAGTTGACTGGTTGGTTCAGAGGCTTTGTGGGAGGGAGAGTGTGAGAAAGAGAGATGGAGTGAGATGCTGTGGAGCATGAGAGAAATCTGTGTTTTGTATGGTGGTTATGAGCCTAAGTTGCAAATGAGGAAAATCAGCCTATGTGGAAGTTATTACCCTAAGTGGCATCAGGTAATTAAGCTCTGTGCAAGTTATTAGCCTAAGTGGCAAGTGATAATGATAAGCCTTTGTGCCTAGGTCTACTTAAAGTACTTTAGAGAAATAATAAGAACTGTACACCTATCTGGAACCATTATGCTTACTATTTGAAACCATTAAGCTTATTAACCATATAGAAACTGTTATACCGTTTCACATTTATTTATTTATTTATTTATTTATTTATTATTTATTTATTTAATTGGATTTGTATCCCGCCCTCCCCGCATAGCAGG